TCGTGCCACCTTACTACATCCCCAAATTGTTCAAACCAAGCTCTTGGTGATTGCTTTAGCCCATATAGGGATTTTTTTAACCTGCAAACTTTGCCTCTTCCAAGACTTTCTTCAAATCCTGGTGGTAGGTCCATATATACTTCTYCCTTTAGGTCTCCATTCAAGAAGGCATTCTTGACATTGAACTGACAAAGTGGCCAGTTAAAATTAACTACAAGAGAAAGAAATATTCTGATAGAGTTAATTTTAGCAACAGGAGCAAAAGTCTCTTGGTAGTCTATACCATGAGTTTGGGTAAATCCTTTTGCTACGAKTCTTGCTTTGTATCTCTCCACACTTCCGTCAGCTTTGCACTTCATTGTAAACACCCATTTGCACCCGGCTGTCTTCTTGTCATGGGGTAGAACAGTAATACTACACGTATTACTTTTCCTAAGAGCATTCATCTCTTCTATCACAGCTAACCTCAACTTCGGATCATCTAATGCTTCCTGAACAGTTCTTGGCACATATAGATTAGAAATCCTACACACAAATGCTTTATGAATAGGTGATAATTTCTCATATGACAAGTATTTTGCAATAGGAAGTTTTGTGCAAGCTCAGGTACCTTTTTTTAATGCAATTGGAATGTCAAGATCTGAAGATGACAAATGAGGTAAAGATGGAATAGGAGTAGAAGAAAGATTACTCTGAGTTGTAAGACCTTCACTCGGTAAATTGGATTGGACTTCTATTGTAGGAACAACTGGAACAGTAGTACTTTTGTGAAACCTCTTCCTGGTATAAAACTGAAGCTCAGGATGAGAATTGTGATCCGTTTAAAGTACTTCTCCCCCAGTCTCTGATAACGTAGTATCTGGCAAATTTAGATTTAAGAGTACTATCACTAGGTTCCATTCTTTCAACAATTGTTTCCGAAACTTGCTTATCAAAATTAATCAAAGGTATAAATTCTTTTAGAATAGGTAAAGTTTCCCAAAAATTATCTTCCTTACTTATGTTCTCCCCCTGAAGAGAATTTTTTTGAAAGAAAAGTTGGTCCTCAACAAAGTGTACATCCATACTCTCAAAAAATTTTTTTGTAACTGGATTAAAGCATTTGTACCCTTTTTTATTAGATGCATAACCAAGAAACACACATTTTTCAGCTTTTGGATCCAGTTTTGATCGAAAAAACATTTGGTATATTTACATAACAGACACAACCAAACACTTTTAAAGGAAGATCCGTGGTTATTCGAGATGTGGGAAAACAATTTTTCAGATTCTGTAAAGGAGTTTCATATTTTAA